GTATAGAGAGTTCAGACAGCAACGTTTATTTACGTCCAAGGTAAAGCGCCTCGATTGAGCACTGTTAACCTTATTCAATTATTAAGATGGTTTGAGAAAGGGCATATATACGATGGCTGGACAGTGCCATATCCCTTTTCTGCTCGCCTCCGTCCTCCCACGACAGAGATCGGTTGACGTCTGTAAGACGAGCAGATAAGGGGCGTGGCCCAGCCTCGATTTCCACATTACAAAGCAAAAGTGGTGATTGCTACTGTTCAGACTTCATACTTAAAGGCAGTTGGCACGATAAATCCCTAAAGACGAGTAGGATTAATACGACTGGCATGGCAGAATTCCGTGACCCTGAACAGGCGCTGCGTAGCGCCTTTCCAAGGAGGGTACCTTATAGAGCCCATTGAGCAGCAACACACCGACCCCCGCCTACCATTGGACGTATAGCATCACAGCACGAGGACGTGCCGTTGTGGACCGCCCGTGCCTACGTGTAATGTAGTGTAACGTAGAGCGACGTAGAACGCTGGCAAAAAGCCAGCAGTAAACAATTCAATCGGTAGACTCGTCCAAAGCAGCGCCCGCCCCAGCCGTTCGCTCGTCCACTGCCGCAGTGCAGCGAAGAAATAAAGCCCCATTTCGTGGTTTCCCCACCATTTCGCCCCGTTTTTTCACTATTTTTGCATTACTGGGCACCTTTGCTCTTTTTCAAAGTGTACATGAAATTATCGTGCCAACTGCCTTTAACCAGCTTTGGCTCAAGATGACTTGAGAGCGAGGCCCGTCACCAGATGTGAAAACCGGAAATCAGAAACCGGAACAATACCGGAAAACGAGTGTCGTTCACACTGTCATCAAATCAGCAGTGGATTTATACATTTTTTAATTCCTTCATGTACACTCCATATCCCATAGAATGGCGAGGGCGTGGCCGCAATCTTCATCTGAAAGTGCCGGCTGCTGCTTTGCAGGAGGAATATTTCTTTTTTGGGACAACTGTAATTATGTCTTTGCCCAGTACAAGATAGAATGATAGTTGTCTCGTTCGGGGATGTTCTACGTAAAAGACATCCTACACTGTGTTCAAGAAGTCGAGGCCACGCCCTTTCCGTGTTTGGGGTATGCAGTGAGGCGCTCAAAATGGACAGCATGGCATAACCGCAAGAAAAAATTAGGTTACAAATAAGCATACATCGACGACCATCACGTACTCACCCCAGTAGTGGCGATATTGTTAACAAAAGAGATTTGCTGGAAGCCGTTTGTCGATCGTTTCACTGCCCACTGCCATCGTCGGCTGGCATTTACGTACAGTATGTCGTTCTCTTCAGCATCCGGTGAGTACAGTGTGACATACTCGCGAAATGATGGTACCTACAGAATACAATAAAATGTTAGAGTTAACAAGAAATTGACGCGTGCGGCTGCGTCGCATCCCGCTGAAATCGTGGTGACTTATTAGTTCTTCAGCATTTTTGAATTCTTTCTATAGGTGCTAATGGAGTTTTAGGGGGAGGACCACTCGGCAGTGCCTGTGCGTCCCTTCCTCCTCCTTTCTATGGATCAAGATCAGGCTTAGACGCAGCACAAGGCTAGCGGTCAGCGAATGATACTTACAGCAAAGATAGACATCTCTTGCCTTAAGAGACTTCTTGAAGTCAGACAGTATGTGGTTGTCTCTGTGAAGAGTGGCCGGAAGTCCGGTACCACTATGCCCGGCAATCTCTTACGGCTACGCCTACTAGAAAAAGAGATTGAATTGGTTGAAAAGAGAACAGTAACCCCGCTACCACACCCATACTGTCTGACTCAAGAAGGGATACAGTGGCACGTCTAAGAGGTCTCCCCACTATATTAGCGCTTTTTTATCTCGCGTGGTCGAAAAATGGCTTTTCAGGAGGGTTTTAGTAGCGGTACCAGGTCACACCCACCATCTTCTCGTCTGCGCTTTCTCTATTCCCAGTAGTATCGCACCAAACAATATCTCAGTGGGCTAGCATAGACGCAGAAGAGAAGTAGCCAATTCCCCTGCCTGCCTACGGCTCTCTCCGCACTTAGGCAGCGTTCAGACTTCGCGACGGCAGCGCTTCGGTCGCGCGTTCGACGCGATCGATGCGCATGCTTTCGACTGCATCGATCGCGTCGAACGCGCGACCTGAGCGCTGCCTTACGTCTGACTATACTGGCAATAAATTCAGCATTTTTGGAGGGTAGTAAACATATAGTTCCACTCAACAAGCTTGTGTTAGCATATCAGTGACACCCATGAGATCATTGAACTTTACTGAATTCATACCAAGAAACGTAACGATCGAATCTGTCCAGTATCAGTACCTCTAGCAACTCGCCATTGTAGTACACAGTAACGTTTCTAAGCGTTCCAGCCACATCATAGGTTCTCTTTCGAAACATCCTACAAATGGCGTCGTCAAGACCAGCAACTCCAAATTTGGCAAAATCGGGTCGGAATGTGATCCGAGTGCCATCCACAGCTTTGGAATCTTCAATTATCATTGGCTCGTCGAAATTGCGCATGTTGTTCGTCCAGACCTGAATATAAACTAGAACTGGCGAAGTTGTGCGTCTTCCACTACCAGACCGTTGTGAGGCGTCGAAGAGGACTTAAGGGTAGATTCCGCGCTAGTC